CGGGGTTGATCTCTTCTAGGACATAATTTCTACATAATTTGAGTTTGTAAGCAACTTATTCATAAATCGCAAACAACATTATGTCTTCAGTCTATGAATACAGATAGTCCTCAATTTACAGCCATTCACTTAGCAAGCATTTGAAATTACAGCAGCACTGAAAAAAAAACCCTTAATTAAGACTGGTCTTCATGTTTACCACCGTTCCAGCATCACCATGATCATGTGATCGAAATTTGGGTGATTGGCAACCGTTACATATTTCGGAGGTTGCAGCATCCCAGGTCCTGTGATCTCCATTTGCAACCATCCCAGCCGGCTTTTTACCAGCAAAGTTAACGAGGGAAGCTGGATTCACTTAACAACCTTCTCTTTAAACCAGGGGGTCTTCAAACTTGGCCCTTTTATGACTTGTGGACTTCAACTCCCAGAATTCCTCAGCCAGGCATGCCTGGCTGAGGAATTCTGGGAGTTGAAGTCCACAAGTCATAAAAGGGCCAAGTTTGAAGGCCCCTGCTCTAAACCAAATTATTTTCCCAAATCCTAATAACTTTGGGCCCTTGCAAAAACATGCCCTTCGCTAAGTGTCCTTCCGTTCTCTTCTCAAGCATGGCTTGTCCAGTACAATAACCACATCTTGATCTTCTTGCACAAAGCAAGGATTTTTACCTTGCATAGTTTTTATATCTTAAAAAAATGCTAATTATGTTTAACAATTTCAACCATTATTTTAATTATTTTTCTATTTGTCTTTTATCCGTAGGCAGCCAGCCGTGAGCCCCCTTAGAGAGGAGAGGGGCTGCATAAAGGATGGATGGGTGGATGTTTCAGTATCGTCATAATCCTAATTATTTTTAATAATTTAAATCCTTACTTTCATTATTTTTCTATTTGCCTTTTATCCGTAAGCAGCCCTGAGTCACCTTATAGAGGAGATAGGCTGCATAAAAGGATGGATGGATGGATGGATGGATGGATGGATGATGGGGCAAATTGAGCTGTCAAAATGTGATAAAATTAGGGCAGTGAAACCTTCCTACAGGGCCAGTTCAGTACAGATAGTCCTTGACTTATCACCACAGTTGTGGCTGAAACCTCCATTGCTAACTGAGGCAGTTGTGAAGTGAGCCGGCCCTGCTTTTTTATGATCTGTTTTTGCCACGGTTGTTAAGCGAATCACCCCAGTTCTTAAAACAAATCTGACTCCCTCCCCCCCCCCGGTTGACTTTGCTTCTCAGAAGCCACTTGGGAAGATTGCCCGAGATCAATCAGGTGGCCCCCCAGAATGCTGCAACTATCTATCATAAACTCATGCTGATTGCCCCAAATTTTGATCACATGGCCCTGGGGATGCTGCAACAGTTGTAAGCATCAGGACGGTCATTAAATGAATGGTTGTAAACTGAGGAGTGCCTGTATTGTCTCCTGGGTACAAAAGGAGTGTTGCCTCTTCCATAAGACTTTTGCATAGGGTTTTTTTCTATTTGAGCGGCATCTTCTTGTTCCTGGCCATTGCAGTGAGGGTTCCTTCAGGTATTATGATGCCTGCTTGCAGAGCGAAAGAGTTGTCTCTCGAATGCCAATTCAGAAGTAGGACTTTCCCCTTGCTTTTCCATCCTTATGGCCACTTCTTCTTCTTCTTTGAACTATTGCCATTTGGCCGATGGTACAGGGCAGTGGTGGTGAACCTATGGCATGGGTACCAGAGGCGGCACTCAGAGCCCTCTTTGTGGGCACGCACGCCGTCGCCCCAGTCCTAGGCCTTCAGCTGGGTTTTATAAGGCCTTGGCCACCAAGTGCAAAAAAAAAAAAAAAAAAAGGTTCAGTCAGTCAATTTCAACTTCTCTTGCGGGGAAAAAAAAAGATCTTGCAACGTTGGAATTGATTGATTGAACTTTTTAGTCCCACCCAGTCTGCCGTTACTACCGCAGCCACCCAATGGGCTACACCCACCCAATGGGCCACACCCAGCCAATGGGCCATACCCACCCAGCACCCGACGATGCATAAGAGGGTTTTGGGTTACAGTTTGGGCACTCGGTCTCTAAAAGGTTCGCCATCACTGGTACAGGGTAGTAAAAACAAAGATAAATGGGCTGAAAAATAAGTTTTTATCCCAGAGCTGTAACCATATTAAATACTACAATATGTAGTGCAACATTGAAGTGCAATATTAGGAGCAGCGCAATGGTGAATAGAATGTGAAGGATGTGTATATATAATGTATGTTCTTATTTGTGGTTTTTTACCTGTGTGCAGTATGCACTGTGGACAGCACTTAATTTCGTTGTGAGTTACACAATGACAATAAAGATACTCTAATCTACTCCGTCCTCCACCCTTTTAATTCTTTTAATATTTTAATGGCTAGAAAATTTATGTTATGTTTGGATTTTGCAGTGTTTATGTTATTGTTATTTCAGTTTATATTTATTTTATCACACTTTTCATAAGGTGTCTTGAGATATGGGAGCCAATATTATTTAAATAAACAGATAAAATAAATGAATATTACTAATAAGCATCCTGTATTATAATCCTGTGTGTATAGATTGCAAGTTTGTTTCCTAATAAGGCTTAGTGATTAGATGTATTTTAAAACTTGAATTGCACAATGAGTGGTAGAGATCTACTCTTTTAAACAAGGAAGGCAGATTTCCCTACGTTAAATTCAAAGCCTATGATGCAAGCCAGTGTACTTGCATAGCCTGTTGGTAGTTACTCAGTGCCTGTTTTAGAACTTATTTCATCTTCAAATTTACTCAGTTGCTTTTTTAAAATATAATTTTATTAAGAATTTAATCCTTTTATAAGGAATGGAATATGAGATAAAGAGACACCTGTTTAAGGATATGAAGAATTATTAAGAGCTTAATTACAATAGTAAAAGCTAACACAAAGTAAATTTAGAGAAAGAAAATATAATGGGAAAAAAGAATAAAAAGTGCAGGAAAAAAGCAAATGAAGGAAGAAAAAGAAAATGAAGAATAAAGAAAAAGAAAAGCAACGGGTGGAAACTAATCAAGGAGAGAAGCAACCTAGAACTAAGGAGAAACTTCCTGACAGTGAGAACAATTAATCAGTGGAACAGCTTGCCTCCAGAAGCAGTAAATGCTCCAACACTGGAAGTTTTTAAGAAGAGACTGGACAGCCATTTGTCCGAAATGGTGTAGGGTTTCCTGCCCGAGCAGGGGGTTGGACTAGATGACCTCCAAGGTCCCTTCCAACTTTACTACTATTACTATTACTACCTTGACCACAATTATAAACAAATTTAATAACATTTCAGATCCTTAATCAGATATCTCTTCATCCCATATCCCATTTCTTATTTTAACCTTGATCAAGTAAACCAACTTTATATTTTTCCTTTTATTTCTCACTGTCTTAATCTTTAATTCAATCAAATACGGGATTTGATTTATTTTCAATTCTTCATTATCCCATTGCATAGATTTTCCAAGGCTTTAAGAAGCCTCTTTTGTAAATCCAACAAGAAAACATTATACAGGTCATTCTCTTGCTTATCATTTATGTTTAATTTTTAAAAGTTCAGCAAAGTTTCTATATCTAGTAAAGTGCCCTTTTCCAAATCATTCTCTTGGATTGTCATTTGTAGTTCCACATTCCCTACTTTATCTTCTCAGATAAAATTTGTTCCACATCTGTCACTCCTTTGTTAACATTTTTTATAGATAGTTGATCGGTAAAAGCAGACTTCGTTACTGACAGTGTTGATATTGTAATCACTAACCTTTGGTTACATTTTTCGAATATCTCCTTTAAAATCTCTGACAACATTTAGTGTCATTTTGCAAGTCCCAGTATTAACTGACATCATCTTTGTATTGTTTTTCTTCTGCTTAAAATCTTTAGTCCCCTCTAGTGTCCAGTTTCTAAAATCATCATTTATCTTTTATTATGACTTGCAATAACCAGGATAGCATTTCCCACAAGAAGTTGTTTACTTTTTGTAGTGAATTCCAGCATCTTACAGTAAAAGCCAATATTGTAATTTATCTGGGTACTTATCCATTCTTAGATCAAAAACTTTCTTAGCTCTTTGCTGTTTATTTCAAACTCTGTAAACTCTTCAGCTTGTAATTAAGTTTTCTTTTCTTTGGAGTTGAAGATAAATTCAGCCGATGGAGACTTTTCAACTTTGTCCTTTTGAAGGTCTCTAATAGTTTTAAAATGGATAGCAGGCATTTTATGAAAGGGATTAAAAAATGAAGTTTGTGAACTTAATTTTTTTTTTAAGACTCCAACGTAATTGCAAGCAAAATGGTGGATCCCATCATCTGTCAGTGCTCAAAACCATGGAAAATCATTGTCCTGCAGTGAAGCAGCCTTCAGAGTCCATGTCGTTGCTCTCTCGTCTTCCTCTCTGCAAAGGTTCTAAGGAACTGATCTACCCACCGGTTCCTGGTCTTTGCCATGGTCATCAATGTCTCCTGTTTGCCATATTTCCTCTGGAAGTTCCACTTAGTCATTAATTTTTGACGGGACTTAAAAACCAATAGCATCTAGTATAGCAGTTCCTTGTCTTTCTGTATAGAAAAACCCTGTGAGATTGGTTGAGACATAGTGACTGATCCAAAGTCATCCACAGAGGCTGATTGTCTGAGAATAGATTTGAGCCTAATTCTCTCTGGTCCTAATCCAAACTACTGCTGCTGCTGCTGCTGCTATTACTAATCCAAACTACTACTTTGCATTAAGTTATACCACATTTTAAAATAGAAAGAATAGGCCAAGAAGAAATTGGAGCACTTCAGGTCATGTGTAGGAATAATTTTCAAAAACATCTCTGGCCAATGTACTTCATTTGGTTCCACACATTGTCTTTTGACATGTAAAAATAACTATAATTCAATGATTCTCGTACGTTTGAAAAGTCCCACAACACCGAATGTTTATAACCAGTTTTTGTGTTACTTTATGGTTGACAGTATAATGGTGATTACAGATTTTTCTTTCCTCTTTTCCCTCCTGTACAGCTCTATAACTTTGGAGAAACAGTTTCTATTGTATTCTGGACAGACACATGGAAGCCTGAGAGTTTTTTTGACAAAATTATAAAAAACAGAAAAAATGGGATGCACACACTGTGCCTACTTGGTAAGAAACATTTGCACCTGGTCTTTCTCTCTCTCTCTCTCTCTCTCTCTGATATCATTGTGAGATTTTAATTCAAGCAATGGTTGGATGTCTTTTTAAATTGCTCCTACTGTACATCGCTCAGAATTTTTGCATTACACGTTTGTCATAAATATGCTGTCCGTTATCGTGCTTCATTAGTGCGAACTCCTGCATTTTTGTGAATAATTGAATGGTTCATTCTTTCTGATCAAACGAGAAGCATCAAATTGTAGAAAAAAGTGAAATGGAAAAAGGGATGAGCATCTTTTTCCATGCATGGCTGCTGCCTATGCTAATATATCGGTTAGTTGCTTATATACTTCGTCTGTTCTTCAAATGAAAAGACTCCCAAAGTAAAAAAACAACAAAAAAAACCAATAAGAAATGAAAAGAAAAAAGCTCAGAAAGGAGAGGAAAAGGAAGCCCCCACCCCAATTACCCCCCCCCAAAGTGTCGTCGTGATGGTGAAAAAGTCCTTCTCTGGTGGTCCAGCTCTATGTAGCCAGTGAAGCGATCCTCACGGTTCTCGTAAGAGCAATCCCAACTTTCACTGGATCTTGAAGAAATATTAGTTAATCAAAACATAGTAATGATACAACTATTGAAGAAAGCAACTTTTAGAAAATGGATCCACCTTGTAACAGGTCTTGTCAGCTGTGTTAACATGGCACAAAAATTTAACCAAACATTGTATACAATATTTATAAATTTATTTTATTTAGAAGCCATGTGACACCAGAATAACTCCAAGTGACTTAAATTTGTAAAAGGATAGAAACTAATCAGGAAAAAAATTGTATACGTCCAGAAGACCATAGATCACAAAACCCAAGCGGACTTCCTAAGATGTGGGAGAACAGCCAAGTTTAAAAAAGATATCCAGAACGTCTCCCGGGAGGGAGCCACTTGGATCTCTGAGCAGATATTATTCCAAATTTGACCACCTTTATCCCATAATAGAATTTAATACAAAGGTGCCAAAAATATATATGTTATTGTCAGTCTAAATGTGTCCCCATTCTTTGCGAGCACTGTTTTAAAAGAAAAATCCAAATTCCTAGATTATTAGCATCACTGATTAAAGCTTGAATATATCTAATACATTTGCAATAATTTTTTTTGGGGGGGGGATGTACTATATTTGTGATACTAGAAGGAAAGTATTGTATTTGGGTGTGTGTTTTTTTTTAATCTAAGCAAGCCAGACACCATTTTATTCACTGAAAAATATAAGCCAAAAATAGCATTTGCCTAGCCTTCCCCTTATATTTGCCCCAGGGCAGAATTTATTTCAGGCTTTTTTTTTTCTTTATGGAAATGTTCACCTAAAATTTAGTAGAATAGGGTGGGAAAAGGGTTATTGCTAGACTTACATAATCTAAATTAGCCTGTATAGTAATCAGTTGCAGTGTTCTCTTAACATTTGGAAGAAGTGAGAAGTCTAAGTCTCCCCACCCACTAAATCCCTAATTTTAAGAAATGTGTACTCCTTTATCTAGCACCAAGCTGCAATGAAACTGGAATCTGAATAATAACTGAATATTGCAGAGTCAGGAGTTTTAAATTGCGCCAGAATTACACTATAAGAAGACTTAAATTACAGTTATAAGAGGGTCACACAAATGTGCTTCCATTATTAGGGAGCCGATCCTAGAATGTCTAAAAGAAATGTTTAAAATAAAGTTTTAGCAAGGCCATCCCTTTACTTGGAATTGCTAAACTGCTTACTGATCCTGCTTCTGAGTTTTAACAGTAATATATATATGATAAGTGTCAACTACTATAGAGGGAAAACAAAATTGCTCATTGTTTCTGATATTTCTGTAATTTTCTTAAAACTATCAATGACTTGGTTTGCAAAAAAGGAAGCAGCCCAATGGATTTTGTAACTAGGCATGATTTTTTTAAAAAAAAATTGTAGCAGACTTTTCAGACAAAATTGGATTTAACATGTAAGCGAGAGACATTCTACAGAGCCAAACACACATGAAATTGTTATCAGATGGAAATTGGACTGATGTAATTAGCTCATTCGGTGTTCTTTAAATACTTGAGTTGATTTAACTGTAGACTTTTCAGGAATCGTAGGTTGGTGGTGAGTTCTTGCTAGCAACTAACAGTCTTAACGACCTCAGTTGCTTTTCTTGATTACAAGCCAGGAGTTCCAGCACTATATCCCAAAACCTCTAAGTCCAAAGACAATTTCTCTGCATGTTTTTGGAAAAAACTGAATTTTGCCAGCATATAATCAGTCAACATGATTGCTGCAGAAATTGGTCTGGAGATCATTTATACATTGGGGAATTGACTGGAATTGTTCCTCAATTATTGAAATGCTGCAACAGCCATATAACTATTTCAACTGCGCAGATGTTGGCAATTTGGCATTTTTCAAGAGCTAGAGAGATTTAAAATTGCATTTCTTCCCTATGATTAATGCTGAATGAAAGAAGAAATTGGGGTCTTTCGGTATACAACAGCCTATCAAATGTTTTGGACAATGCTCTGCCCAGCACATCTCTCTTCCTCCTTCCTTAATACTTCTATTCTCAGTTTCCTTTCATTTTCTCAGCTACATGAATTCTTTCCTGGTGCCCCCAGATACATCAAATTTAGATTCTCATAAGCCTCAACACAAGCCTCTATATGAACTATAGTCCAGTCATCCAAAGGGCAAAAGATTAGGGAAGATTGAATCTGCCCATTGGATACAGTTTGTTTTTCATATACACATACGTACACACAGCCCACACACACGCACACCTTTTAAGTTAAAAAAAATACTGAGGAAAACTACTCAAGCATTTTATTAATTATCTTTCTACATTATGCTAAGCTACTCTAGGATATCCATTTGTAAATAAATCATGATTGGCTGGGTTCACATAAAGCGCTCAGCTGCAAGCCTGGTGTGCAAATTACAGTTGCTTGGCCCACACATCAAGATCCAAATGTATTATGGCTTAGCTCAGTGTATGAATATGGTCATTGATTAATTCACTTTATCATAGCAAAAGTTCCATGTAGGAAGATGTGTGAACAGCTGGTTAAAAATTAAAATGCAATTATGAAGTCATTGGCTGTGTATAGAAAATGAATTAGATCCAGAGTTTAAATGACTAGAATGAAATAAGCACTGGATAAAAATGGAACTAAAATACAAAGAAAGGGCAATTTGATTCTTACAGAAAAACAAACAAACAAACTTGGAATGTTCTTTAATTAATTATGTGTTTACCATCACATCACATAACTTTGGATGATTCACAGTAAAAATCCATAAAATTCCAGTAATCTCACTCACAAGCAATTGGATAAAGCTACCATAAATAGCCCATTATAATCCAACACCACACAATGCTGCTTTAAAGACTGCCTTCTTTAAATCGGGGAGGAGAAGACTGGAGTAGCCATTCCAAAGAGGGAGGGGGGGGGCAGAATGAGGCCACTGAGCAAATCTGCTCTTATCCTACTTGGAGTGGGAGAGCCAGAAGCATTTTCTCTCTGATTGGAGTGCACAGGTTAGGCAGGCTCAGGTGGAAGGAGACAATCCCTAAGATACCTAAGATTTGAGTCCAGAGGGTTGTAGATGTTAATACCTGTTGGGAAACTCCCAGTCAGGCAGGGAGGAGGGGTCAAGCAGGGAACTAGCCTTGCGTCCTTGCACAGCCATAAAAGGCACAAGTTCCAAGTGGTTTGGGGAGAGTCATGGATTATACATAGAACACAATAAAGTTGCTGACTTGAACCCCTCACAAGTGGATCTGGTTGCTTGCTCCTGATAATAGCCCTTTGAATTGTATTCATAAATGATTGGAGGCCAATGCAGTATCTACAGTTCCAGTTTTTATCCTGCTAAGGTGGCTCTCACTGACCAAGAAGCAGGCAGCTGATAGAAACAAAACAACACTTATATTTGCATCCATGGCTCCTCCATCCATACTGCTTATGCTTAGTAGGGTATCAAATTCAATAACTAATGATCTGAAGGAAATACGACAACCAATATGTTTTCCTACTGGAAGATAGGATGAAAAACTTCAAGTATGTTATTGATGGCTTCAACCTTAAATCCTATAAACACACATTTGGTTCCAGATGATACAGCTTGAACTTATTAAAGCTGATGTCTACCTAACAGACTTCAATTAAGATTGCTACTTAGGTCTAATGCAAAAAAGAAATCTTTTTAATTATGAAAAATGGACTGTGTCTTACACGCCGAGTTATATACTAGCAGCAATTCATCCTCTAAGAGTGATCCTTATGAAGCCACTCCAAACACATAAGGATGTGTCAATGTCCATCCCAGTATTGGAAGACGTCTGAGGGAAAAAGCCCAGCAAAAGGACCTCCAAAAGACAGAACCTGCTCATTACTATAGAATGCTTGGAGAGCCCCCTAAGTAGATAACTGGGAAGGAGGAAAGAAGATTAGAACTCCTTCGAGGAATTGATTGACATTGCCTGGGATCCTGAATACCAAGCAGTTTGTGAAAATCACTGCTTGTTATGTATTAATATTGAGTAGAGATATTCTGGAATTATTTTTGCAAAAGAGTTTTTGGAGGGGAGATTAATTAATTAATTAATTGCCAGTTTTGTCTAGTAATTAAGGTGCTGGTCTAGAAACCAGGAGACCGTGCGTTAGGCACAAAAGCTGGCTGGGTGACTTTGGGCCAGTCTCTCAGCCCAGCCCACTGCACAGTGATTTTGTGGTGGGGATCATAGCAGGTGGAAAGAATATTAGTATGTTTGCCACCTTGGGTTATTTATAAAAATAATAAATGTAAGGTATAAATAAATTCCTTCCCACCTCACATACATACGGTACATTCTAGAGCAGCCCAAAGACAATGAATATGTTATGCAGCAACAAAATGCTAACCATGTATTGGGCCATACAATAGAGCAATGAATATAATGGTGCTGGCTAGCTGGAATTAGTCCAATTTAAAAAAAAATAATTGGGAAAAGAGTTTGTAAGATCATACGTGCAGAAATGGGTTCGAGAGGACAGTCCATGGGCATATTTCTGTATCATGTGCGAGGGAAAAATTAAATCTTGAGTCTTAATAGTTTTTATAAAAATGAACTTCCTGTGTATGACACTTATGTTTTTCTGCAGACATTAAAGTAAAAGAGCAGTCAGTGGAGAATCTCATGAGGTAAGTTGTGTTGCTATGTGTTGATTATCAGCATGTGGCAGTGAGTAGTGTGTAGATCGTTTAACACTTGAAAGTTGAATAACTATTATAGGAGCCTGTAGGACTAAACACATATATAATTAATGCAGAAGATGGAAAGGAATTGTGATCATTCATACTCTGGATTATGGGACAGATTAATAGCGAAGTTAAATCATAACTGAAGTCCACTGGAATCCTCTCAAGTGTATTTCTACAAGTATTAGGTTTAAATATTTGTAGGGAATCTGGAATAAATATGCAACCAGACCTTACCTTTGTATGAACTTTCTTAAAGATCCTGAAATCGGTTGCAGATATATTTTTCTCATCAGTTGAATCCAGTTGAAAGCTTTGCACAATCAGAAACAATGCTGCAATCAATTCTCAGCTTCTCTGAAATGCAGAGGCCTGGCTTCTGGTTGCATCCATTCCAAGGAGGCTTGCCACAGCTTTCAACAGGAGCCAATTTAGTCGTCTTCACAACAGTGTGACCACATTGTAGGATGAAACACCATCTACCTCAGGAAGCATCACCAGAAGTTGGTGCCCAAGAGACAGCACCGTTGGCTTTCATAACATCTAGTTGGATAAGGTCTTAAAGAATATTGAGTCCAACTCTTGCACTGTGCAAGATACACTAGATCACTTCTGACAGATGACTGTTCAGTCTCCTTTTGAAGACCTCCAGTGGAAAATTGCTCATCACAATCAGGGAGTTCCTCCAGATAACTAGGTCAGACATTTCTCCTTGTAGTTTTAAGTACTTTTAAAGACTTGTACTAGCTGGAATTTGAGGCATCACTTGCCCGTTGCTTCAGGCAATAAAATGTCATGGGCCAAACCTTTTTTAATCATCTTTTTTCTATTAAAGATAAACTGCTTCATAAGCAAATTTAATTCATAGTGTATTTAACATGTATTAGCTGTCTCTCACTTTAAAAAAGTGAACAGAACAATATTAGCTCTGATCCAAGTCATTTTATCTGCGGTATAATATTTTCCCATTCCCAGTTGTTCAGTATTTCTAATCTGGGTGGATCAGTCTGCATCCTTAATCTCTTTGCCAGCTCATCTTATGGAACAGTTGACAGTTTCTGGACACATCCTTACTTTGGTTTAGCTTCATATGGACTGACAATCTTGGGGGAAGATTTATTTTGGAACTTCTTCATAACTCTGCTTGGCCAAGTCCAGGGTTGGCAAACTTTGCTGAAAACAACTCTTGAACACTGGATTTGAGGGACTATAATTATGCAACTCTAGAGTATATGGTAGAAAAATACAGGCTTTCCTTTCAATTTGGCATGAATAGCACAGTCAATGATGCAGGGGAAGTAACACCACTTTTGAGGGGGTGGAGGAATAGCCATGGCTGGGATTGTAAAGAGTAAAAAGAGTAAACATATGGCACTTCCTTTAGAAGGGGAGAATACATTCAACTGAATCACGCAGGCTGTAATTCCTTGGTTAAAAGCTTCAAAACAGCCACAGAACTGCCTAAGAATGATTTCTGTTCCCAATGACATAAACATTGGAAGCAGCTTTTAATGCGCATCTACAGCTAGGCCAGTGAAGAGAAGAGTACATCAATATGTTTTCGTCTGCTGAATTTACAGCTTTTCAGTTGTTAGTGAGAGCAGAGACATCACCCTGCAGAGACATCACCCTGCCAACAAAAGTACATATAGTCAAGGCCATGGTTTTCCCAGTTGCAATGTATGGCTGTGAAAGTTGGACCATAAGAAAGGCTGAGCACCAAAGAATTGAGGCCTTTGAACTATGGTGCTGGAGAAGACTCCTGCGAGTCCCTTGGACTGCAAGGCGTTCAAACCGGTCAGTCCTAGAAGAGATCAACCCCGACTGCTCTTTAGAAGGCCAGATCCTGAAGTTGAAACTCAAATACTTTGGCCACCTAATGAGAAGAAAGGACTCACTGGAAAAGGGCCTAATGCTGGGAAAGATTGAGGGCAATAGAAGAAGGGGACGACAGAGAATGAGATGGCTGGATGGAGTCACTGAAGCAGTAGGTGTGAACTTAAATGGACTCCAGATGGTGGTAGAGGACAGGAAGACCTGGAGGAACATTGTCCATGGGGTCGCGATGGGTCGGACACGACTTCGCAATTAACAACAACAACAGTTGTTAGTGCGGTGAGCCAACCCAGCCTAAGTCTCGTGTTTAACCAACATTTGTTGAACAAAAGGCAGGGTGCAAACCGACTAGTACAAATGTCAGTTTGTTGTGCTCATGAATCCAAAATGACTCGGAAGTATGAGCTCCTCGTTTTGACATTGTCAATTTTCTCTGTCAGGGGAAAGAAAATCTTTGAGCCACCACGCTACATGAGTGTGAATCAAGCAGCTGAGCAACTTCTTGCCGTTATCCAGAATCGCCGGCTACAGGGCCAAGAGCCAGGTATGTCTATGTCTGTCCTTTCTGGTAGAAAGGTACCCTGCTTGAAGTCTCTTCCAAATTCAAGAACTCTTATGCTAACGTGGAGTTGGGCCATCCTGAACTTGGCATGATACAGCTTGCACGGAAACCAAAGCTTTACACTGGTTCATCATCATGTAATGTACATCACTGGTCTAGAAGGACATATTTGAAGGCCGCAGAATGTTGGCGGAAACACAATCCAGCCACAAGTTCAATGACCCAGTTTTAAAAAAAAAACATTCCATATGGATATATTTCAGAATGAATCACATTGATTTTAATCATTTCCCACACTCATCAGAAATTATGCATTTCCTTCATTTAGTGTTTGAGATTCTACTTGCCACAAAATGTCCCAAATGCAGAGGAGGAAAGCACTTTTAATAAGAACAAATTGAATATTACAGTCCTCGATCAGCACAAAGAAAAATATGTATAGCATACCTTGACTTCTTGTATTCAGCTAACCATTTGACATTGCATGAAGGAATATAACCCAAAGTAGTTCTCTGTTGATAAAACATTTCTGTGTTGTAGAAAAAGAAACCTCAGAAGTAAATTGATCTTGGTTTGATCCTCAAGCATTTTAATTGTAAAATTGTAGGTCAGGGATAGAGAAACCAAGGATGCGCTATGACTCCCATCATCCTGGTCATGATCCAGTCATGCTCAGTGGGCATGACAGGAATTGAAATTCAGCAATATCTAACTGGCTGAAGATTTCTCATCCTAGCTTTAAGGTTTAAAATAACACTGTAAAGTAGGGGTGTCCAACCTTGGCCACTTTAAGACTTGTGAACTTCAACTCCCAGAATTCCCAGCCAGCCATACTGGCTAGGGAATTCTAGGAGTTGAAGTCCACAAGTCTTAAAAGTTGCCAACATTGGACACCCCTGTAGTAAAGCTTCTAGTTCAGTGGTTCTCAACCTGTGGGTCGGGACCCCATTTGGGGTCGAATGACCATTTCACGGGGGTCACCAAACAATGCAGTCCGCCATTTTTCCCCTTTTCCTTGGCTGTGCTACTCCCTTTTATTCTATTGGCTTTTGAAAGCCAATAGAATAGACTCTCTTGAATAGAGTCTAATTCTATTGGCTTTCAAAAGCCAATAGGAATTGTCCAGGCTGTCTCTGCCCTGCTGAGCCCGCCAAAAGTCCCATTCTGCAAACGGTGCGGCAAGTTGTCTGCAGCGAAGGCGAGCTGTCTGGAAGTTTCCACCCCTCCCTGCTGAGCAACTACTAAAAATGTAAGTAAAAGAGGGCCAGGGGTGGGAGGTGGGAGGCCGGCGGTCATAGGGAGGGTTGCTGGCACGCGTGGGGTCCAGCGGGTGCCTTACCTCCCTTGGGCTGGGCCAGCTGGTGGCCCAGCCGGTGGTTGGCCTGCGCCGCCTCTGCCACTTGCCAGATACGCCTCGGCCGGCACAGGGGGCGGTACCACGCATGCGCGGCGCTCCCAGGCAGGGAAAGTCCTCGACTTATGACCAGTTGGGTAGTCCTCAACTTATGACAGGTTGGGGTCGCGGCATTAAAAAGGTTGAGAACCACTGTTCTAGTTCTTCAGTGTTTGATCCAGTAATTTATAGCAAACAAACCATGGATACTCGCTTTCCCTATAAAGGCAAGATCCTAGCTCAGATACACTATTTATCAAAAGCAAACCTGGAAAACACAGTTCACTACTATGAAGCAAAGGAACATAAGACAAGAATTAGGGTTAAGGAGAACTTTAACCACAATTTAATTCATCATCTTGATTCAAATAACATAAAGCAAAACATAATCCAATTTACTGTGTTATGCAAGTTATGGTTAGTGAAAACAACCTTCCCCTATCAAAGCAGCAAGGAAAACGAATGGGGGGAGTAAAACTGATTCCCAGCAAACTCTACTTCATATTCTCTGGTTACAGCAGCTTTTTTCCAGATACAAAACCCTGTCCACAGATATTTCAGAAATGCTTTTCCTTGTCTTTTCATTTTTTTTTTATTTTTTTTTTAGAAAATTCCTCAGTAACCAGGAATAGCACCTAGTGTTTCTAGGGGGCTATATTCACTTAAATAACTGCATGACTGAGAACCTACCTAATTATTAAACCTGAAGTTCAGATTCCTGCTAGATCACCGTATTTCCTGTGCCTGATCTTTACACATTTTGTCACATCCTATTACGAGGCAGTGTTACAGGTATTGCGCCGATTTTCAGAGAAGTGACTGTAGATTCCGAAACCTTCAGAAGATTTCCTGGCGTCGGTATAAGATGACGTAACCTTGAAGGAAAGGAGGGAGAATCACTTCCTCTTTGGATTTGCTGCAGGAATCAAGATTTTTAAAGCAGATTTCCCTAAATCATTGTCCTTTGTTTTTGCAGAAGTAACTGAAAACACTGTCTGTGTAGGCTTAGCAAGAGTTGGTGCACTTGATCAGAAGATTGCATCAGGGACTCTACAGGATATGAGTACAGTGGCCCTCGGCGATCCTCTGCACTCTATGATCATAACTGGAATATTGCATCCCTTGGAAGTAGACATGCTTAAATTATTTGCAGTAGATAAATCCATCTTTGAACACCACTGAATTAGAAACTCTTTGTGCCTTACTGGGAAAAGACGCTGATAAATTCCTTGTTGGCAACAGACTACTCTACAAAGAAGTCACCCATATCTTTCTAAAGACGACAGATAGCAAGCCCAATTGTGATTCCTTTATGGCTCAGGCTCACTGCGTGCAATTTGTAAATGTTTTGTTACTTGACAGAAGTAAAATAAAAATTGAGAGTATTGTATTGATTCCACCTGTATAGCAGGTGATGGGAGAACACTCAGTATGGCAAAAGAGAAAATTCAAAAGATGAAATATAGCACTTGGCTAGGATGGTTAATTGTTAAAGATTTGAAAACAAAAAAAAAATATTTCTATCTTGTTGGCGATATCCCAAGGAAGTAAACCTGTGCCTAAACTGTATCATTTCCAACTGCGGATAATAACAACAGTAGCAGTAGATAAAGCTTGAATTGAACTTAAACTACTAGCTTTTGCTGAGCGTTCTTATAAGGCCGTCAGATCAAAGAGACTTAAGGAAATTTACAATTAAAAATTCTGTAAAAAAAACAAATACAGAAAATAAGCAGTGCTTTGAGGAAGTCCAAAAACCCAGTTCTAGCCCTTTTTCAGTGACAGCACAAGGCACCTCAACTCATGGCCTGATCGATCAAAAAGTTCAGTATTTTCTGTAGCATTTTCTGTAAGAATGGTATTCTAGCAAGTAGGAGTCATGACAGAGGAGATAGGAATCTGGGATCTCTCAAAGGACACTGAAATGGGCAGAATGGGCAGAAGAAATTGGGGAAAGTTAATCCCACAAATAATCTAATCTTGAACCAGGAAGGGCTTTATGGATGATATTGTGCTTGCTCACAGAGCAGAGTCATCACACAAGTGAGATGGGCAGCACTATCAATCTACTAAGTCAGTGTTTCCCAAACTTGACAATTTTAAGGCATGTGGACTTCAACTCCCAGAATTCCACAGCCAGCGTTGCTGGCTGTGGAATTCTGGGAGTTGAAGTCCTCATGCCTTAAAATTGCCAAGTTTGGGAAACACTGTACTAAGTAAATAATTACTTGTACAGTTCCATGCTGGATCAACTGTACTTTCCAAGTGGTGTGCCAAGTGCAGTCCTACATGGACCACATTATAGAAATCCAAATAAAAGGTAACTAAGCCATGAGTAATTATGAGACTGGTCTCTCGGCCTAGGAAAGGCTTCAGTTGGCACACACAATGAATCCATGTAAAAGGTGTCTGCTTCCTTTCTTCAAACAAGTGATAGGAAAGTGGGCCATGCACTGGCTGTATGGAGATGGAGATTTTTGGACTGAATCCATGCAAATAATTCCTTGCAGAGAAAAATAATGTCTCTGCAGAAGCTGCGTTAGAATTGCCTTACTAGTTCCCTGCACAGCTTGGCCAAGAAGGTCAATTGTGTACAGCAGAGACGGCATCCAGACCACAGGCCATTTCAAAAGTGGAGAGGGTCTTGGGGACCCCATCAGTGTATGCAGCCAATGGTTCATAATTCTCATGCAGCTCTCCTTTATTCCTTTTTTCTTTAAATCCTTTTTACAGCATGTCCTTTCAAAAATAAAGAGACTATGTCCTTCCAAATGAAATAAGACTCAAAAAGATCTCTGCCTCTAGAGCAAGCAGGAGGTATCCACTTTCAACTATATGTGATGTGGGAAATGGACTTTGGCAGTTGGTTCAATGTACTATTTGTATTGACTTCTCCTTCTCTCTGCTGTTTTCTGGAGATTTAGAGGTTCCTCCCCAAAAATTTCAAGGGAGATTAAAGAATGCCATCTTTTCTGTGCCATTTCCAAGAAGAGGTGCCTCAACTCAACACTGCCTTGAGTTTCTGCAGAAAGAGTGGGAAGTAAATCTACCCAACCAACCTCACATTATCACTGCATTTTGATTCACACATTGTGTTTTACTAATACGTGGCTTAGCATGCTATGCGGGACCAGCTGCTGTTGTGCATCAACCACAATGTACAGCTAAGGTCTACGACACCTCTATCTTTTTTGCCAAGTAGAAGAGAACTTAAGAATGCTCTAAAAATGTATTTCACTCCAAGAACTACATAAACAATATATGACCTTTTAAAAAAAAGTTTTATTGATAAGAAAAATTGATCCCAAATATGTCAAACATTTTTGCTGTTTCAATAAAGATTATATTAAAGTAGAAAAAAATCCAATAAAATGTTCAATATTGCACTGACAGCAAATCAGACTGGCTGCTAGCTATATTATTTTCAAGTTTATTTCCAGTATATTATCTTCAGCTACCACTTTGAATTTATCGGTAACTAAATTCCTTAAATTGTACAAAACACCAGGGCTTTAGAAACTAAACAAAAGGAACTAAGAGTTTCGCCATTTTCTCATGCAGGAGAATGTATGGCTAGGCCATAAATGCAATCTATAATCTTTAATTTAAATCGAGGCTTGGCAACAAGACACCACCACTAAATAGTGGTTACTAATCTCAAAAGTTAAAAATAGGCAGCTGAAATCCTATTAAATCAGTGTTCTCAAGTCAGAATTTGGACTATTAGAAATTTATTTGACAGCTACAGGTTGCATAGTGATTCACGTTGCCTGAACAGACTGCAGACCCCTGCGTAATTTTTTTATTTATCCAATTTATTTGCTGCCCATCTTGTGGTTCAAGGCGACTGGCAAGTTTTGGGAACTGATATAGCAACCAGGCCTCAGTAAATGAAATATGCAAACAATGCTTTTAGTATTTCATTACAGTGACACTTTCCCCTCAAGACAATGGGAGAATAAAAACAGAAAAATCCATCTGTGCTAAAGCTTAGTCACAGGTTCGAAGTAAATTTACTCATTGGTGAGAGTTTTTAAAGTTATAAAAAAAATTGCAAAAAGATCAGGTCAAAGTAGGAAGCAGGACTGAGAAAAATGCATATTGAAGTACTTTCTGTGGCAAAATAAAAGCAGAATCAAGATTTAAGAAATTTAGAACAAAACAGGATAATTTTCTAAACTGGACAAAGCATGGGTTTCATCTAAATCGGGTAGGCAATCTTGGCTCTTTTATAACTCGTGGACTTCAACTCCCAGAATTCCTGAGCCAAGATGGCTCAGCTTGGAAACTTCTCTTTCCCCTCAGCATGGCTGGCTCAGGAATTCCGGGAGTTGGAGTCCAGAGTCATAAAAGAACCAAGGTTGCCTACCCCTGATCAAAATCATACCAACCATATTTGCAAAGAAAAAAAAAACTGCAGTTCTCCCCTGGAAAACATAATTAATTTCAGCCCCCCCCCACCCCACAAAACCAGCCATTGATATTTCCACTGCCAATCTCGATTTCTTCATCTGCCAACAATATTCATTTGATAAAGTGCAGCTAGCATCTCTTCTAAAAATTTTGGCCACAGTTAGACCAGTACTTTGTTTACTAGCCAAGACTCTGAATAAAATTGCAAGCGTTCATTTTTAGGAATGAAAAAGCACTGAAAAAAAACCAGGTTATTCAAGTCGCTGGTTCCATCTGTAGAAAATAATGTCCTAAGCTCTCAGCTATGTTTGGCAGCCTATTTTCCCTCAAGAATGAAACAGATCCTAAGATTAAGCCTAATACTTCGAACTTAAAATTATAAAGAACACTTTTTCCTTCATATTATCTATCTGGAGCTTAGCGGACAATAAACCTGTTCTACAGATCTCCTAAATTAAGTATCTTGTCTCGTGATTAGACCAAAATGCACATTTATTTAGGGAGTGAGATCTCTGCTACACTATATGGTTTCGAGGCAACACATTCAATGTATGTTATGTTGCCAAAAGTTAGATAAAAGCACATTTCAGTGCCACATATTTGGCAAAAGTATAATTTAACATGCTTTGCTGTTTGACATTTGGCCGAGAGAAGTCAGCAGCAATAACGAGGACTACATCCTGCAGAAACAAAACGAAGAGCATATTAACCCCACTAAAAAGGGTAAGCAGTTTCCAGCGTCTCTTATTTAAGGCACACCCAAGATTCAGAACGTGCCAACAAAAGCCACTGGAACAGTCATGTCAAAGCGTAAGCAAAATTTGCACCGATGCACAAATCAGTGGAATAAGTTGATTTTCTTTTTTGAAGAAGTGATTACAAGTAAAGTATTTAACAACAAGTTAATGACCTATTTCAGCCAACCCTTTCTCTGAAACAGATTCAGAGGGGATGGGGATTCACATTAGTCTACAAAGAGCTAAATAATTATCTCCCTGGGAAAAAATAATATTTCTGCACCAAGTGAAAACAGCACAAATTTTTTCCCCGGGAAATCTGCTGCTATTGTCTTTTATGAATGAGGGAAATAAGAAAACAGTAATACACAAAACAGTTTTCATTGTGTCTTATGGAAAGGAAGGAGGCCCAAATACGCTACTGTGCAAAAATAATGAATCAAAACTTATATTAGGGTTTAAATTACAGGTTGCATAAAAATACATTTCTAACATTTAAGCAAAACAAAGCAGGGTTAGAAATTAAATAACCAGTAAAAGGTTATCTAACAACCAAGGGATTAAAAATAATAAAAAGTTATTCCCATAAAAACAGAAAATCCACACTTACAGTTTTTTCCAATATAAAATTCAGGTCCATTTTATGTATTTCTGATGCCTAATACAATTTCATGCAAGCATTAAAAAAAAACAATTGTTTGTATTTAAAAAAAACCATTTCTGACCATTAGTAAATGCTAGCCTTCATTTTTCTAGGCAAGGACATATTGCTTGCATCGCACACTTTTATTACAATTGTCTTAAAAAGTCTAGTGATTTCTGTTGATTTGACAAACAATGAATTGGGGCTTTCCATATTAACTTAAAATGGAGACTAGCTTCTGACCAACTTCAGTTCCAACATTAGAAACAGCAAAATGCACATGTGGCATTCTAACCAAATGAAACCTTTAAATATTACACTTGCACAGTGGGATATATAGACACCAGACATATTACCCAGAATGCTCCTGTGAAGTTTTGAAAGAACTTTAATTACGATGGAGAATAGCAGCACAGACAATATTGGCAGAGCCAGTCACTAAATAATTAAGTGCTAGAAAATGCTGCTGTAAGATTTATAGGTCCTACAAGAAACTGATAAAAAAAAACAACCCTCTTTGAATATGGGGTTTGGTTTAGGAAAACTCATTATGTTCAGTTAAAATCCAAATGTTAAAACCTATGCAGATAATGGTGAAATTGCTGGAAGAATATCTTGGATTCACATTCATAAGAGGATCAAATAATTTGTTAAGTAAACATAACAGAATACAAAATAAAATCATGTATTGTCTGTTGGCTAGTATTAAAAAAAACCCTTCTATCAAAATAAATGTATCCAACATAAAGGGTTCAGAAAGGAAGTGGTAGTACAGGAAGAGGCAAATCCATAACTCTCCTTTTGAGCATTTCATAAAAGTTAAATTTAAAAAACCCTAATTATTTACTGCAAGACTTGGCCATGATGAAAACAATTAAAAGACATCAGATCGGAGGAAGACATTCTTGCAAGATATCCTTCTGCACACTGGCTACATGTAGTAATGCCCAATTACTGTCGGGATGCTACAGAATTAGCAGCCAAGATTTTAATTCACGATAATGAAACATACTGCAAGTGTGTTTTGCATATCCATTTTAACTTTGTATTTGAAAACTGAAGAGTCGTCTCCCCAAGAAACTTAAAAATGTAACGTTAACAGGGAATCCATCATCTCTGTATTCAATTACACATTTACAGCACACCAATTGCAAGCAAAAACTTTTACTGGTACAAGTCACAGCCGTAAAAATTAATAAAAATCCCCACTGTTTCCTATCTGTGCTGACAGATACTTTGATAAAAAAAGGCACTCTGAAAACCCAATATGGTTTGGTTCATTAAGTTTGCAAAGTACAAACAGTCTCATAAACAGTTATGCTGTAGAATGTCAACTACTGTGACATTTCTGTTTAATTTCTCCCTCTCTGTAATAATACCGATTCTGTGGGAACAAGAAATCTCTGCCATAGCTGCAGCTTTACAGAAAGCACAGTCAATGATTGCAACCACACATCTGTATTGATAAGTCTGCTGTCGGTAGGAACAAACTTGGCAAAGAATCCACAAAGTTTTGGGGCTCCTGTAAATCAATCCCAGGTAATTCAAGATGAGGCCTCTTTTTGTTTTCTCTTCTGCTAATCGGACGGCAGGAGAGTTTGCTGGGAAACGGAGACCAGGAGTTTCAATTCCAAAGGAAGAACAAAGTCTTAAAATGACAGTACTAGAAAGCTTTGGTCCAAAGTGGAGATGAAGAGGTTCGCTACATAGTGGCAAAGTCAATTTGTACATACAGTTGCCTCACTCCAGCCTGCAAAACACAAGGAAGAAAAGGCACATATATGAATAGAATAGAGCTGGAAGAGACCCTGGAGGTCTTCTAGTCCAGCCCCCTGCTTAACCAGGAGAACCTATACCATCTCAGACAAGTGACTGTCTAGCTCAGTGGTTCTCAACCTGTGGGTTGGGACCCCATTTGGGGTCGAACAACCATTTCACGGGGGTTGCCAAACAACGCAGTCCACCATTTTTTCCCCCTTTTCCTTAGCTGTGCTACTCCCTTTTATTCTATTGGCAAAGCCAATAGGAATTGTCCAGGCTGTCTCTGCCCTGCTGAGCCCGCCAAAAGTCCCATTCTGCAAACAGTGCTGCACCAGTTGAGTAGTCCTCGACTTACGACCGGTTGAGTAATCCTCAACTTAGGACTGGTTGGGGGTTGCAACATTAAAAAGGTTGAGAACCACTGGTCTAGCCCCTTAAAAATCTCCAGTGATGGAGCGCCCACGATTTCTGGAGGCAAGCTGTTCCACTGGTTGACTGTCCTCACTGTCAGGAATTCCAGGTTGCTCTCTTTGATCAGTTTCCAATGAGAACAAGTGAACCACGTTTCCAATGCAGGGATGTCCAACCTGGGCAACATAATGGGTAGTGGACTTCAACTCCCAGCATGGCTGGCTGAGAAGTTTGAGAATTCCAATCCATAAGTCATAAAGTTGGCAAGGTTGGACACCTCTGCTATAAAGTCCACTCAATGTGATCTGTCATGGAAGTGACTCGCAAACCATTGGAGGTCTGCTCTCTTTGGGAAAACAACCGTTGTAGACCAATGGTTGAGATGTAGGATCAAAGAGACCCAGGTTCAATTTGCCACAGAGATCACTGCATGACTGTGGGTCAGTTGCTCTCTCATCCCAACTCTCTGAATAATGTTTCAAGGATAAAACGAGGGAAGTTCCCTTGTCTGCCACATCAGACAAGTTCCCTTGTCTGCTTTTCCAATAGAAAAGCAGATATAAATTCAATAAACATGACCACTACTATGCATGAACAGTTCCAATTAATAAGATGGCACCATAGCGAACTCTTAATTTCATTATTCCTTGGTCTTACGATCGTAAAAATAAATGGATTTTTCTGGTTCAAAATATTTTCGTAAGAATGCTGGAAAAGCATTCTTGGCAACCTTTGCAACTGTATGACTTGTGGACTTGAATTTTGTGATGTGCAACACTTAATGTAATGAAAACGAGAACTAGCCAATATGTAAGACTTTTATGATCTACAAAGAAAAAATTTAAAAATACACATAACAATGAGACAATAAACATCACCAGATTGACTCTATTTTAAAGTTCAGAACATCACAGATTTACACTGTGTGCACAATTATTAGGCAAGTAAGTATTTTGACCATATCATCATTTTCATGCATATTTTCCACCTCCAAGCTGTATAAACTTGAATGCTTAGTGCAGTGTTTCCCAAACTTGACAATTTTAAGGCATGAGGACTTCAACTCCCAGAATTCCACAGCCAGCAACATGCCTTAAAATTGTCAAGTTTGGGAAACACTGGCTTAGTGGATATAAGCATTGGTGTGTATTTGTGTAATGAGGAAGGGTGTGGCCTAAGGAGATCAACATCCTATATCAAGGTGTGCATAATTATTAGGCAGCTTCTTTTCCTCAGGCAAAATGGGCCAAAAAAAGAGATTTAACTGACTTTGAAAAGTCAAACATTGTAAAAAGTCTTTCAGAGAGATGCAGCACTCTTGAAATTGCTAAGATATTGGGGCATGATTACAGAACCATCAAATGTTTTGTTGCAAATAGTCAACAGGGTCGCACGAAACGTGTCAAGAAAAAAAGATGCATCTTAACTGCTAAAGATTTGAGAAGAATCAAATGTGAAGCTACCAGGAACCCATTATCCTCCAGTACTGTCCTATTCCAGAACTGCAACCTATCTGGAATGCCCAGAAGTACAAGGTGTTCAGTGCTCTGAGACATGGCCAACGTGAGGAAGGCTGGAATCCAATCATCACTGAACAAGACGCATAAGTTGAAACAGCAAGACTGGGCCAAGAAATATCTAAAGACAGATTTTTCAAAGGTTTTTATGGACTGATGAGATGAGAGTGACTCTTGACGGTGGATAGCCCATGGCTGGATCAGTAACAGGCACAGAGCTTCACTTCGACTCAGACGCCAGCAAGATGGAATACTGGTATGGGCTGGTATTATTAAAGATGAGCTAGTTGGACCTTTTTGGGTTGAAGATGGACTCAAAATCAACTCTCAAATCTACTGCCAGTTTTTAGAAGACACTTTCTTCAAGCAGTGGTACAGGAAAAAGTCTGCATCTTTCAAGAAGACTGTGATTTTTATGCAGGACACTACTCTATCGCCTGCATCTAAGTACTCTACTGCATGGCTAGCCAATAAAGGCCTCAAAGATGAAAGAATAATGACATGGCCCCCTTCCTTACTTGACCTAAACCCTATTGAGAACTTGTGCACCCTTCTTAAATGGGAGATTTACAGTGAAGGAAAACAATACACCTCTCGAACAGTGTCTGGGAGGCTGTGGTTGCTGCTACACAAAATGTTGATCGTCAACAGATCAAGGAACTGACAGACTCCATGAATGGAAGGCTTATGACTGTTATTGAAAAAGGTGGCTATATTGGTCACTGATTTTTTTTTAAAGTCAGAAATGTTTATTTGTACATTTTGAGTTGTTTGTTTATTATTCTCACTTTAACAGATGCAAATAAACAAGTGAGATGGGCAAATTTTTATTTTTCATTTAGTTGCATAATAATTCTGCACACTAATAGTTGCCCAATAATTGTGCATACATATTCTCCTAAGAAAGCCAAAACCTCACTTTTACTTTCTTAAATATTCAGGTTTGAGGTATATTAAGGTTTTGGATTGACCGAGAGCACTATAGTTGTTCAATAAGAAAATTAATCCTCCAAAATACAACTTGCCTAATAATTATGCACACAATGCATTAGATTGCAGCTTTTAAAAATAATAAGACAATGTGGGCATCTTAACATTTTAAAATTTTACAATTTTTAGCAAAACCAAAGAGGCAAATGTACTCTCTGTGAAGTGATCCACAGACCAAAACTCAACAGAAAAGTTATATTTGTAAAGCTAAACAGCATCTATCTAGAAATAAGTGTAAATAGAATTTAATATAGAATTTAAATTCAGAAATAAGGCTTCTTGCAAATCCTGAACTTTATATCCCAACTTTATTTTTAACAGGTTAAAAACTGTTATACCTTAATAAAATTTTCCTCAGTTGCTAAAAGCAGGATTGTAACTTATAACTTAGATATACAAATGCAAATTTTACCTGAGTAAAAATGTTGTGAGTTTGGCTTAATATCCACTTTGCATCAGCATCTGGAGCTACAAACAGTTTCAAAGTCCCTATGTAAACATCAGTACAAAGAGTCCAGAAATGAGGATCGTGCAAATTGTAAACTCCTTGCAATTGTTGAACCTAAAATACAGAATTTAGTATTTTAGTCTTTCCTTCTTTTAAATGATTGTAACAGAGTGGTTTATAAGAACCAATTAATCCCAACCCTGAATAATTCTATGTACTCTGTTACATAATACACAAAATGAATTCCCCCAAAAAATGTCCAATTATTATTTTTTCCTTTAAGGCAAATATAGTAAGTCAGTCTCAGCCTAATTTTGAAGACAGGGTTTCTTTTCCCAATTTTTATTCCTGAAAAAAATGTTTCCTTCATGGTATTAAGAA